AATCTTGAAGTTTGACTGTATATTACCACAATTGACTTTTTAACCAATGCCGTTGATTTTCAGTCATCTGAGTAATTGACTCGGAAAATTTGTGACGCAAGGCTTGATACTTGACATGTGCATTGTTGAGGACCTATAATGAACCATGAAAGTCATTTGAGGCAATAGAAATCCAATTTCTCTTGAGAAAACCAAAACCCTAGTTATGGACTCATTGATTAGGAGAAGAATTTTGACCAGTCAACTCTTGAGTAGTCTTGAGCCAATGGGAACGTCATGAGAAGGTCTTGAAGAAAATGAGAGGAAAATTTTTGGGGTACAACAGATGTTATCGAACCTTGTCTAGATGGCACTCCAACAAAAGATTATTATGATGATTTTTTAGTGTGTATGCATAGGTTGGAGGTTAAAGGCGAGACACAATTGCATAAATTTTTTATGGTGTCATCAAGTTGGAATGATGCATGAGAGATATATTTATAGTTATGAAAGTTCAGTGGCAAAAGAGAGAAATTTAGAATTAAAAGATAATAGAAAATTTGACCCATGAAACAGTATGAGTCGACCTCTAATTTGCATGTGCCAGCTCATAGTGTTCATTTTAATAGCATGAGCCAGTCTGATTGAAACAGAAGAAAACTGCTTATTTAGATAGTACATGAGCCGGTCTAAAATGTTGTATGAACCAGCCTGACTAAAACAGAATAAAACTGCTTATTTCAAATAATACATGAATCAACCTGAAAGATTGCATGAGTCGACTTGACTATCAAGTGGCTAAAGATATAGTGAGGAGGGATATTGTTCCACTAATTGAAGGTTTCTTCTCAAAATAAGTCTTATCCACCATTATTTCTAAATGTAAAAGTAAAATTAGTTCTTATCAAGCTCTATAGTAACTTCTTTTCAAACTAAACTTAAATGTATCGTTATGGCCATAGAACATGCCTCTAAGAGAGGATGAAATAAACTTTCATTTGAAAGTAATTTCCTTTTTGCCTTACGAACATTCACTAATATTACCAATATCCCTTGAAACTTATTTCAAATGAAAGATTTGTATTCATACTAATAAATCTTTCTGCTTTAAAGTGTTTCACATTGACTATAAATGTAATAATTATGTTGATCGTATAACAAATACAAATTTTTACATTTAAGATATGAATCAATGGAGTTGCATCCAAACTTGTGCGAATGATGATTTCATAAGAGTTAGATTTGATGTAACTAATTTTTGGTTTTTGTTAATTGTTTGTTGACGAGTTAAGTTCTTGCTCCATCTTCAACTTTGTATATTATTTTTTTCATATATGCAGCATTTTCTAACAACAAAATAATTCTACATACATTACTGATTTATTCTTGGGACAAACATGCATTAGATAACTAAATTTATAAATTATACTTATACTTTAAATTAATATATGATTCTTTCTTTTCTATTAAAAAAATACAACCCATACCAAAACTATTTTATAAGATATTAATGTTTTTTTTTTCAAATAATAATAATAATTAATAATAATTCAACAATACTTATCCATGGACAATGATACACTAATTTATCATAATTCTAAACACAAAAACCGATATAGATTCGATACTTGTCATATCTTGTATTTGTAGTTGTCAAACTTTCTTTTCTCTCTTACAATATTATTCGTTTTGTGGGCTCCTCACTCTTAACATGCAATGCCTCTCGGTCACGGACGGCATCAACCGCAAACCCCACCCTTTCTCACATCCTTTTCTTCACACTATTGCCTTAATATAACTATGGCTTAATTATTTTAATAATTCCTTGTATATGCCATATGCCCCCCATCACCTACGTCTGTGGATTGTAACTTTACTTTCTAAAGTGTATATATACTATAAAATTTAGTACTCCTTAATTTGTTTCATTTTGGTGTAGTTTAAGGTTATAAAACACACATATATTAAACACTCTGTTATATATATATATATATATATATATATATATATATATATATATATATATATATATATATATATATATATATATATATATATATATATATATATATATATATATATATATATATATATATATATATATATATATATATATATATATATATATATATATATATTAGGTGAAAAGAATGAGATAGTGGATTTCAATAATTTTGAAACTAATTTAGAAATAACAGACACATATGCACACACCTATATAGTATTTATAAATTATATTAACCCGGAATTATGTTTAAGTAATGTTGCATTGCTTAGTTTTTAGAAACCTGTTTCGTAAATCATAATTTCATAAATATGAATTTAATATGGATTTCTTGAAAAGAATTCAAAGATAAAGTTTTACTATTTTAAAAAAAAAAATTATTAATAAAAAATAGAGAGAAATGAATTTTTGATAAACTCAAATAAAATAATAAAATTGATTATTGATAAAATTCATATTAATTATATCTATATTAGATGTGGTTGTCTTTAGAGTTTAGAATAAACCCTAAATTTCAAGGAGAAAAGAGGTTTAGAAATAAAAGAATAAGGAGATTCAAAGGAGTAAATGTTGTGTGGGTTAAATGAGAGGACATTTATAAAGTCAAAAGGGCGGGTGGTTTATGTATGAAGGATCTTAGATTTTTATAAATCTTGTCTTACTAAGTAAGTGTAGGTGGAGGATACTTATGGATTTTCCACCGCTTTGGAGAGACATTAGCTAGATAAAGTATGATTCTTAGAGTTTTGGTACCCCTTTCAGGGGGAGGGGTAAGGAATGAAGCCTTAATAAGGTGTCTCATTGATAGAGAGGAGTTTTTCTCCTTAGGTCTTCACCCGATCATATGACATATAGGTTTACCTCATGATGCTTTAAGATGGTTAATTAGAAATGGACAAAAGGCCAGGTTTTATCATCAAGTCTAGGTGGGGACTACCACTATCTATGCGTCTTTTGAGAAGTTTTTTCTAATCTCAAAGCAAATTTCAGATGGTAGGTTCTCTAGATTCTTGGGAGGGGGATGTTTGAGCTTGAAAATTTAGATGGAATGAGTTTTTCTAGTTTGAGAGGAGAATCTTTTTGAGGATTTGGGAGTGGTCATGTGAGGCCATGTTGATTCTTGGGTTCGGAAATGTGATATGACTAGGGTTTTCCAGTTATACCAGCTTATGGTATCCTTTAGATTTGGCTGGGATTAACAATGATAGGTTTGAGAGGGTGTTAAGGGGGATTGCTAGGTTTGAAAGAGTTAGGCTCCTTCTAAAGTTATAGCGTTCTCGTGGTAGTTTTTCTAAAATAGATTGCTGACTAGGCATAATCTTCTAAGGTGCCAAATTGTATCTGGGTCTAAGCGGGATATGTGTTGTGTGTGGAGCACTTGGAGTCGATCGATCATCTCATTGTTTTGTATGGGGTAGATTCACCTACTTGGTATATAGATTTTAGGTGGATGAGGCGGCTTGTGCGTAAATCGAAATTGATTTTAGATTTGCTTGAGTTGTTGTAGGGTCTAGGTCTTGGAAAATAGGCATCTTTAGACCTGGTCTCGATCTGAAATTTTGTGGTATGGATGAATTGGAGAATCATAATAAAGTATTTTTTTTTTCGAAAAAGTTTGACGATTAATCACTGAATCGATGATTATGATTATTAGTTTGCCGTAAAAGTGGGTTCTTACTCATGCTTCAGATTTAGGCATTTAAAAGTGCGTTAGGAGACCAACTTTTCTTCTCTTATTTGTGCATGTGGTTGTGTTTATCTCCCTCCAACTCGCTCTTTTCAAAGATCTATTTGCTTCCGAGTAGTCAGAATAGATTAGATTGATGAGCTGGCCGATTGACTTGTGTTTTTTTCTTAGTATTTGATTGTTTTTACTTTTCATTTTTATTTCTTAGCCTAAGAGTTCGTCGAACTTCTTGCTCTTACGTACTTCTAATGCATGTTATTCCTTTTGTTTTATGTTATAATTTTTTATTTTCTCTATCATTAATATATAATTTCTACTTTAATATTAAAAAAATATAGACACAATCATATCATCCCCTAAACCACACCACCACTTTAAATAAATCGAGTCAACCCATTTTATCCAAACATAAGAGTAGATCATCTACCCACTCTGAGGGAGAGAAGGAATTGTTACATTAAATAAATAAAAAATTCAATATATAATCAAAATCACCCTTATCACTTCCTTCATTAAAAAATTATCAAAAATATTAATTACTTGATAAAAATGTTTAAGAGATAATCTTAACATACTTCAATAACATATCAAATGATAGAAAATTTACTTTTCAATCCAACAATGAACTTTACAAAATGTATTCAATAAAAAAAAGTTATTAACCGGTTTAAAGATACTTACTTATATACATGAAGTTAGAACTTGAAGCAATACAAGTGTCAAGTCTAACTCAAACTATATGTACAGTTAGAACTGTCTTATATAGCAGTTCATATCATATGATAAACTCAGTATAATTACAATGTTGTAGTTATAGGTATATATACCATAGTCCGTATATCATATATATATATATATATATATATATATATATATATATATATATATATATATATATATATATATATATATGGAGTGAAAACGAGAGACAGAGAGAGAAAGAAATACGTGGTCCATCATACTAGTCTATGGCTGACTGACTGACACTCACAGTCACAGCAGCCGTGTTGATAATTAGAAGAGAACAGATCCAGCGGGCAACAACAACTCTTTCTTTTATCATTCTCTCTTCTCTCTCTCTCTTTTGGTTCCTGCTACCTCCTCAATATACTCTCGACTATATTCAGTTCTAGGTATTCACACAATTTATCTCTCTCAATCCTAGTTTCTTCTCCTACCTACAATTCACATGCAACATCAATTTCAGTTTCTCAAACTTATAGTCTAGTCTAGTAGTAGTAATAGTAGTAGTATACTTTCTTGTCTCAATTACTACATATAAACTCACTAACTCTTGTTTTGATTTTGTAGAAGTTCCATATTTCAAAGATGCTGTCTGATGAAGCTGTTTCAGCTTCTTCCAACCTCATCAGAAGCACCTCAAACTCGAGCCCTAACCCTCCTAACCCTAATAAGAGAAAAAGAAGTCTACCAGGAACACCAGGCAAGTTCATCACTTCACCTTTATATTATATCTATCTATGTCCGTATATTATCATGTTAAAAACACTAATTAGTATGAGCATGTTACAGATCCGACATCAGAAGTGATTGCTCTATCACCAAAGTCACTGATGACAACAAACCGTTTCATCTGCGAAGTATGCAACAAGGGTTTCAAGAGAGACCAAAACCTGCAGCTACATCTGCGAGGGCACAATCTTCCATGGAAGCTTAAGCAAAGAAACCATCAGGAGGTGATAAGGAAGAAGGTGTATGTTTGTCCAGAGAAGAGCTGTGTGCACCATGACCCTTGTAGAGCTTTAGGTGACTTGACAGGGATAAAGAAGCACTTTAGTAGAAAGCACGGTGAGAAGAAGTGGAAGTGTGATAAGTGTTCTAAGAAATATGCAGTTCAATCTGATTGGAAGGCTCATAGTAAGATTTGTGGTACTAGAGAGTACAGATGTGACTGTGGCACACTATTCTCCAGGTATAAATTTCCACCATTTAATGCTTGTTTGAAAAAACCAAATCACATTGAACAATAACATTATTAATACTTCAAAGTGTCTCTATTCTTCAATAAAATCATAGTGGAGAGAATCTGATTTTGCATACTGTTCATCTAGACATGGACTTAATAGGTCTAATGCACAAGTTTAATTTTCACAATACTAATAAAGTAGCTTATATTATATTCACTTTATATAATTAAGTTTTTGCTTTGATTCTTGGCATTGCAATGCATTAATCTAGTTCAACCTCAAAATGCAGTTTTTTTTGTTGTTGTGAAAATCACGCGATTCTGTCAAATTCAATGCTAATTCAAACATGTAGGAATTCTTTGAGACTATGATAGGACCACTAATTTTTTAATTGTTTTATTGTGTAACAATGGACAAATCAGGAAGGACAGTTTCTTAACACATAGAGCCTTTTGTGAATCCTTGGTGGAAAGAAGTGCAAGAATAATAGGTTCAGCTCCAGCAGTTTTATCCAACTTTGGAAACAATCTTCTGATCAACAACACTCAAGCTCAAGCACCAAGAATTCCTCATGGTTTATTTGGGCTTAATCAGGAGTTTGGTGGACCAGTTCCAGAAACATTCATGGGAAATTTTCTCAACAATAATCCTCAACATCATCAGATGAACATCCCTCATCATAACTATCTTCCAAGCAACTCCACTACTACAACTAGTGTATTCTCATCATCAGAAGCAAACTCTGATTTAGAATTACTTCAGACAAACATGAATTCGTTCGGTTCAATACCACATGGACAATGGATGAATTATCGTTACCCCGAGCAACAAGAAGTATCTATGCCTATGCTTACTCAAGGAGTACTAAAGCTAGAACAAGAAGAAAACAACAAAATGCATGATTTGTCTCATTTGTATTATCAGAACCAATTACAAGGAGGTTTACAAGGAGGTCCAAGTCACGCGATGGAATCCACAACTAGAAAGATGAACAATGGGAATAATTCTGCACCTCCCAACATTGTTGAAATCAAGAAACTGTTCAAGCAAGGAAACCATGCAGGAAATTTGAATGAAGATCAACTAAGCTTAACTAGAGATTTCCTTGGAGTTGGAGTTGGAGATGATTCATTGAAGAAACCGTTGTTGCAACAAGAGGTCCCTAGGTTCAATCCAATAGGACCTATCATGAACATGCAAAGTGATCAGTTTGGTGGACACTATTGACGATAGAATTAGAAATTGCAATATGAAATGAAGTATGAATTGTATTGTATTGAAGTAGTGAAGCCGTAAGATATTATATACAATACATATATATCATGCAGCAGCAGATAAATACAACGCTCGTGACACTATACTCGGATTCAGAGGCATGCATAGTAGTATATAGTGAGATATCATATCATTATAGTTCACGTGAAATCATATTTGTAGAACATCCCGTGAGGGAGGTAGGGGCCATTGCATCTTGATCGTAAGAGACAAACTGTATACAATCTCTCTCTCTTTTTTATTTGTTTCTTAAATTATCTTTTCTTATATTGTTGATAATTATAATGTAGGGCATGTAGAACTTGAAGAAGAAATAACGCGTTACAGTTTGTAGTAGAACTTTACAGTGTCAGACATGGGGGCACTGGCTGGCGCTATGGCCTACTTTGTTTGTTTTTAGCAGAACCTTTCTGCTGTGGAAACCGTGAACTTGAGGTATAGCCTCTCCCCCTAAGATAAATACTTTTTCCAAAAACCAAAAGATGGGCGCAAAATTGAGGACACTAATCCCTCAAAGTTAATGAAATCTAATTAACAGGTTTCTTGTGTAAGAATGAATTTGTTTGACTAACCCTGTCATATTGACCTCCTCTATTTGTAGAGGTAAGAATGAGGGTTTCTGACCCACTTGTTTGTGGTGAAAAGGATATCTCTTCCCAGATCTAAAGAGGAAAATATCTTATATTGATTTGTTGAGGGTGTAGCTTCAGGAAAGTAGGATCCGATACCTAGACTTATTTTGGAAAAATCCTTGTTTAGGATCCACCTCCTGAAGACTAGGATTTTTGGTTTTGTTCTTTTAAGTCTTATGGGTTGGTAAGGAATCTTAGTGTGGTAGTTAATGAGATTTTGGCTATCTTAGGTGAAGGAGACATTCTTTCTTAGAGAGTTATCTGTTATTGAGGAGTTTTTATCGACTACAAAAAAATAATTTAATTTGTCAGGTGAGTAGCACACTGCAAACGCAAATATTATCTTGCAATGTAATTTTTGCGGGATGGACGGCATATTCCGCAAAAATGTTAGTCGCAACTTTTTGCAAGGAGAAATACACCCCGCAACTCTTTTCCTAGAGTTCAATACAAATTAGAGCAGTTGAGTATAAGATGATTCAGAGCAGTGTGAAGCAGAAAGTGACAGAAACTTGTGGGATGAATATCACCTAACAACGTTTGAATATTCATAAACTAGCGGGATGAAATACACCTGGCAAAGATTTTTAATAGAATAAAAAAAATATGTTTTTTCAAATATTAATAATATTCTAGTTTTAAAAATAACAATATCAATCTATTTTTAAAATAACTGTAATTTTTTTGAAGTTGATTTCAAATATGTTTTAACTACAATATTAATCTATATTAATCTAGTTTAGACAACTGAAAAAATATTTTTGAAGGAACAAATTGTATTAACTGTAATATTAACTACAATACTGCAATATAGCTGGTTGTGTGTAACCTCCTCCAGTCAAAGCCAAGTTGCTCTTTATACTACTCTTGAAAATATATCAGTTCAGAAACTAACTCCATAATATAAGATTGGGATAAAACTATTGGTTAAAATGAAGACACCGCCAATGGAAGCTGCAGAACTATGGCGAGACAAACCATGGAGGTAGAGGTAGTAGCAAAAAAATCAACTTCAATAATTTGTTCATATTTGAAATAACAAACAATTTATTAATATAGATTAATATTGCAGTTAAAATAATTTTGTGCATAATCTGTTTTTCAACTATTAATCTAGTTTTATTCATATGTTTAAAATAACAAATAATTTATAAATTTATGTACCTTTATAAGTGGATTTGATGAGAATATGGAATGAAAATCTGAATCCAGCAACAAATTTGAGTTTTTGAGGTAAGATTTGGGGTTAAAATTCAGAAATTTGAGAGATATAGAGGGGTTGAGAAATTCCCCTTTAAAGGGTTGGGAGAAGGTAGAAGATGAAATGAATGTTATGCTTATGTAATGGAGAAAAATGAAAGGATTTATGGGGATATATAAAGCAAACTTGCGGGGTGACAAAAACCCTGCAATATTTATTATTGTTGAAATTTACAAGGTGAATAGTACCCTGCAACTAATGATGTCAGTATTGACCAGAACATTCACCTATCCCTTTGTTAAATTAATAAATACAATCTGTACTTTTCACCCAATTTTTCAAAAAATACTTGCGAAGTGGGATCCACCCCGTAAATTTTCTTACTGTTGGAACTTGCAGGGTGCTTATAACTTCGCTATATGTGTCACAATAAAGTTATTCTGTCACAACCGACGCATCAATAATTGTACAACTTGATTTTCCCCAAAAAAATTTAAAAACAACTGCGGGGTGTTTTTCACTTCGCAACTTTCAATTCAAAAAATTCAAAATTTTCTCCATTAGTTGCGAGATGAAAACACTTACAAATATATTTTTTTATATTTTAAAAACAATGTTGCGGGGTGAATAACACCCAACAAGTGTGTTTTATTGCGAGGTGAATAACACCTGGCATAATCACCTGGCTAATTGCATGTTTTCTTGTAGTGATCTTTGCTTCGAGACGTACCTTATCACTGAATAGAAATATGTGGATCTGGAAATACGTTAGAGAATGTAATTTCTCACTGACCTCCGCTTATATTGTTCAAAGGGTTAATTAAATATCTTCTTATGATCTTCTGATGGAGAGTCAGATCCTTCCTTTTATCTTGTTTGTTAGGTTCCTTTTAGTAGATTTTTTTGTTGAGACGACCATCTATCTCTTCGCCTCTTATGAGCTTATCTTGTTTGTATGATATATAATCTTTAAGTAGTCGAAGTTGTTATACCCTAATTTTCCCCCCTAAGATCCTTCATCATTATCTTGCATCCTTGCAATGCATCAAGATCACAAATCTTTGGGTTGCCTCTCACCCTTGTTCTCTCTTCTCTATGTTTGTCCTTGAAGGATCACCAAACACCCTATTTATGTATCTTGTGCATGTTTGTTTTATGTATACTAACCTCTAATTAAAATCCAAAAAGATGTCTTTGTTTCCTTTTATGATTTGTACATTGTAGGTGTTGAGCCAAGTGCATCTATCTCACCTCTTAAGCTAGGGTTTTGAAGATTGATCCTCGATCAATTGATTATTCATTAGACCTTAAAGGCTTGAACTTAAAATCTATGCTTCTAGCATCAAATTTCTATGGTTTGATAACTCTCTCAACTTCATATGGTCAAGTTTGTCATAAAGCTGGTGGTTTACTTCATCGAGAAACTTCATGGTTCATGTGTGTGATACGGTGGGAGAACTGACTATGATTTTGCGTTTGTTTTCACAAATGTTTCGGTTGAGCAAGAGTCGCCACCGACTTTTTATTTTATCCTAAGGAAAGGTTAAAAAGCACAGCAAAAACCTTTGAGATGTTTTCTTGGGTTCGGGGAGTAGATTATAGAAAGGGAAGGTATTAGCACCCTTTCTATCCATGGTTATCCATGGGCTCTTAGTTACTTGCTTATATCAACTTGCCTTGGTTTTCAATTGTTTGAAATGGTGCTTTGTGTGTGTGGGTTTGAAAATGTTTTGAAAAGAAGCCAATGTGGTGGCAACCTTTGTAATGATCCATGTTGGGATGTATACAAAGATGTATGTCTTTTGAAAAGGTTTTCATTGTTTTTGAAAGTTGTTTTGAAAGTGTAGTGATGTGTGGTTTGAAAAATAGGCAAGTGTTTTGTTTTTTGTAAGTTTGATTCAAGTAACTAAGAGGTTGTCTACTCCTAAATTTCTCAAAGATCTTTGCTATGTTTTAACCCTTTTAACAATTTTGTTCCACCATTGCATTTGGTGGACAATCTTGTGTTAGGATGTGAAAGGGACGGGCGCGGGTCATCGTTTAGACCATAATTGCAATGGTGTCAAGTATCTTTGGGCAATTTTTCCTTGGAGGGACTTGATCATGTTTTAGGCAACTTTCGAAAGCGTCATCGAGGGACTATGATCATTTTGAATTGTTTGTTTTGCCCAAAGAGACCTAACATGCAATATGGCCCATTATTGAAGGCAACAAGTGGAATACCCTAGGGGTGCAAGTGTGATTAGTGTTGTCTATTTTCATGCTTGTTTATCTTGAATTTAGGTCAAACTATTTTTGGTTAATTGATTTGCATACAAACCCTAATTCTAACATGGCATAATTTAGAAAACTTTAAAGTGCGAAAAATAAGGTTCCTAAGTTATTACAACACAATATATGGGAAGGGGGTACAAATGTTCAAATGGAGGGTATTTTGACAAGGAATTTAAACCTAACTATTACATCAAAATTGAGAATTATACAAATTATTTAATATACAACAATTAAATAGAAATGGAATAAATATGCAAGATGCAAAAAAAATGTTTTTTATATGTATGAAAAAAAAGTGTTTTTTTATATGTCAAATAAACAAAAATAAAAAGTATTATTTTTTGGAGTTTTTATGTATTTAGGGCAAAACCCTAATTTATTAATTAAAAGGTATTAATTATTCAATATATATAATGTTTATTGATTATTTACAAAAATAAAATAAAAATGAAGTATATTTGTCAAAAAGGTATTTTTAATGTTAAATATTAATAAAAATAAAAATGTATATATTTTGTATTTTTGTCCTAAATATTCTAATAAATATATATGTATTTATATTATTTACTAAATATTAAATATGTACAAAATAATAATATTTAATATTTATAAAAAAATTATATTTTGTATAAAATATTTTCAGAAGATAAAATAAAATAAAAATTAGAAAGTAAATGTGTTTGCATTATTTTTTAGTATTTTTTAAATAAAAGTATATCTAGGTATTTATTTATGTACAAAACATCAATTTAAACAAATAAATACCTAATAAATATAAAAATGGTGTGAAAAATATTTTTTATATTTTTAATATTATGAGGAAAAATAAATAAGTCAGGAATAAA